CGGACCATTTGCAAGAGATTCTCAATATCATCGGGCGTACTTCGATCTCGGAAGATTACACTGACATCGCTGCGGTTGCTCGCTGGAAGGCGCATCTAGATCAGACGAACAAGTTGCAGAAGCAGCAGCAACAGCAGCGCTCCGAATCCCCGGGCACGTGCTCCAACGGCACCACGGCGCATACGCAGCATTGACCTGGGCGTCCCCTTCACCCCGCGCCGCCTTACCCTTCCACTGCACCCCCACCCGCAACCGCAACTCGACATGGCTTCGCCCAATGGACCGCAACCCTCCAAGCCCCGGGGCCGACTACCAGACCAGCAGCACATCAACCTCACCCAACCCATGGTCATGGCCATGGGGTCCATGCACGGCCTCGCACCCCCCCTACCCGCACCCCTCCCAACCATCACCCACCTGCTGATCAGTGCCGACCCCGACCCCGATCCCACCGACTTCAGCGACCTAGCCCAACTCACCCGGTACGCGAAGCGCCCGAACCAAGTACATCGCTGGCACTGGCACAACACGGACGTGCAGCGCATCACAGCGATCGTGACCGAGGAATGGGAGGACCGCATCAGCGCATACTTCAACACGCCAGCCATGCTCAAGCGCACCACGTGGAGGGAGTACCACGGACCAGCCAATTGGGCCATCGACGCCATCATGTCTTTCGTGTGCTCGCGCTCGCAGTCAAAGGTGCATTGGCGCATGTGCGAGGAGCATGCGCGCTTCCTGGCTTGCGTCGATCTGATGGAGTCGGAGCTCACATTGCAGGCTTGGGCTGACTTGTTGCGGGTTGTGGAGGGGAAGGTCAAGGTCGAGGATGGCCCAAAGCTGCGGTGGTTGATTGAGGGCACGCACGAGGCGCTGCGGTTCAGGAGGAAGGTTGGAGCTCGGCGCCGGATCTAGGGGACCATGTGGCGGCGTTGTGAAACCAGCGGGATGGGATAGGCGGATGGTTATGCGTTTCTGCGTTCTGGGATGGAGCGGCGTTAAACGGAAGATACCCTGGGCTCTATCCGATTTTTACACATAGATGCATTACCGCTTCATAGTGGCCGACTGAGGCCCTGGAAGTGAAGTGAAGTAATACAAATCCAACTCAAGATCTTGTGCAACATGCTCTTGACTTGGCCCCGACGTGACGGCGTCAGGTTGACGCAATATATATGGTTGACGCAATATATATAATTCGAGACTCCACCCTACAACCCCCTCATCAACTCATCGAGCGTGATGGGCTTCCGCACTGCATTCGAGAAGCCCTCGTGGAAAGACACCCATATCCTCCCCCGAGCAGCCGCCTTCTCATCCTTCTTCTTTGCCCCGTCATTTTCAGCCTGTCCCACAGGTTGACTCTGCACAACCCTCCCAAAGAAATCCCTCTTGACCTTATCCCTCACAACGTCCATCTTCCCATCCACACCTTTACCCTTCTCTTCAACCACCACCTCCTCCCCGACGTGCCCACCTCTCTTCCTCCTCGCCTCCCCATCCATCCGCGCACTCTCCTTCCTCCACTCCCCCTCCAGCACGCTCCGCACCGCAAAGCGGACCTTCTCCTCACTCTTCCCAACCAGCGTCTCAAACGCGCCAATCTGATCCAGAGCGGGCTCCATGCGGAACACCCAGCCCCCATTGCGATTCGCATGATCCTCCATCTCGACCCTGCTCTTCTCGAAGCGCACCCCGGTCGCAGCCATGGCCTCGACAGCCTTTTTGACCAACGCCTTCTCCGATGCCTTGCGTACGGATGCCGTGGCGATGGACTTGGAGCCCGCTGCGCCTGTGTTGACGATGACGGGCTTGACGTCGGGCGCGAGCATGCGGAGGACGTAGGGAAGGAGCTCGGTAGAGAGTTCGACGGTTGAGCGGAACATGCGGGTCAGTGGGAGGGTCATGGAGGATTGGAGGCCCATGAGGTGGGCGCGGTTGGCTTTCTGTTGTTCGGAGGCTTGGTATGCTGCGCCTGGGCCGGTGAAGGGTAAGGGTTCGGCTTCTGGGTCTGCGATTGGATTGCTGGATTGGTGGCGGGGAGAGGCGAAGAGGTCGTGGAAGGCGAGGACGGATTGGGATAGGTAGGGTGCGAGCTCCCACTCTTGCGAACCGTGGACGGCAGAGGAAAGGGTGTCGTGGAATGCGAGCCATTCTGAGGCGACACATGGTTTGCTGAGGAGGGTGTCGTCCTGATACGGCTTCTCCGGGTAGGCTGTGAAGCAATCTAAAGACTGTAATCAACGAATGCGGATAAAGATGTGATGAGGGAACGAAACTTACCTGCTACGATGCGGTCGCAGTCCCCACTAGTGTCAGCCATCTCACGAAGTCGGTCCATGGCACGTCGCTTCGCTGCTTCAGCGACACCGATAACGCCCTTCTTCCCCTGTTTCGCTGCCATCGGATCTGAAGTCTCAGCCTGCTTTGGGAAGCCCGCTCCTTCCTTGAAGACGCGCTCGACAACATCCTTCGCCCCACCTCGACCCAGGCTTCGAGCAGCACTACCGCCATTGTGAAGGTCATTGGCGATGTTGTCCTCGATCCATCGTCGAGACAATCGACGCTCTTCGGATGGTAGTCGCTTCGACGCTCGTAGCCGACTAGCAACCCATTCGCAGACAACCATGACGCCGCGAATGTCACCTTCTCCTGTACCACTCCCACTGCCCCCTTCCTTCTTCGTGCTGACACCCCAAGTCATCTCGCACAAGCGACGAACTCCATCGGAATCGCATGGAATGCCCTCGTTCCTGAAGACATGCTCCATGCGGCTGACAACCATGTTGAGTGCGGGCTTGCGCATGTGAATGACCTCGGCCATTGAGGATTGTCGGAGTGGGCGTAGTGAAGGGTGGTAGACGTCATTGCAGATAAGGACAAGAGGTCGAAGTAAGCGGAACTTGTCGCCCTTTCTCTTGCTTTTGGGAGCTGTCGCGGAATCATGGCCCACCATTCTCGAATTCTTCTCGTCCAGGTTGATCAGGTCGATCAACGCTTTGATGAAACCGCCTTCACCAGCACCACCACTCCCACTGACGACACCATCCACTTCGTCCACTACGACACAAACAGGCTTTCCGGCTTTCCTGACCTTGCCATCTGCCGTCTTCGTGTTGATGCCGCGAACGTTCTCAGTGCCGACCATATCGCGGATCCGACCTTTGACCACGTCGCGACTTCGCTCATCCGAGGCGTTGATCTCTTGGACCTCATATCCAGCTTGTCGCGCACACACGTGTGCCAGCGTCGTCTTTCCTAAGCCAGGCGGTCCAGTCAAAAGGAGGATCTTGCGGTGCCTCTGGGGTTCGTGTTCATCGTCTTTCCTCGTGTGCTTAGGCTTGATCTTTGTGACGCCTGGGAAGACAATGGAGTCCCAGCCCTTCAACCAGCGGAGAACGGATCGGTGTGTTCGCTCGTCGCCGACGAGATCGGTGAACTTCTTTGCGCGATACTTCTCAGTCCACATGAGTGTCCGACCGTTCTTGCCTGGTTTCTGCTGCGGTGATGTATCCTCGACAGAGGTTCGAGAATCGTCTTGCTGAGATAGCTCCTGTGCTTTCTCTAAATCCAGCAGCTTTGCCTCCTTGATCAGATCGTGTATGTCAATCCCATAAAAGCTCTTCTTTGCTCGTCCCTCCACAGCTACGGATCGAGACGCAATCAGCTGCTCGTAGGAGCTTGAGATTGTTGGTGCCTTCTCTTTGATGTCAATACTGGCCCCGGAAGCCAATGTGGCGCGAATGCTCGAGGTGCTCGAGGTGCGAGACGGCGATGGGGCAGCGGGTGGGGTGTTGACGTTCGAGGTTGATCCAAACATGTCATCGAGATCGCCTACAGGCACATTCTCTGGATCTGCGATGTCCTCTTGGCTGGCAGGAGGTGTGTGGTCGGCAACAGCAGGAAGATCCAGGGTAGCGCGCTTCTTGAATACGTGTTCCTTGAGCGCCTCAATCTCGTCTTCGTCATCAGAATCATCCACGAAACCACCAATCTTCCTCGTGTGCTGGTTCACGTGGACATCTTTCAGTGGACTTCTGAGTATTTCCGACCGCTTTCGCTTCTTTGATGAAGCATTTGAGGGCAGCGAGCTTGGAGGGTAGGCCATCGGCGAGGAGGATAGAGGCATGTTGGCAATTGGAGGAGAAGAAGGTATGGAATTCTCGTCGGTGGAAGACCCTGTCGGCGTTCGCTTTATCGGGGAGTTTTTCAGGTAGCGGAGTGGTGTATCTGGATGGTATCAGCGACCGCGACATGACACCAACGTTTGGATTGCTACCGATCGAGTGGTCCTCTTCGCTCCTGAACGCTTCTGCTATGACCCAGGCCCTGTGCTGTATTACAACGCCTGCTTTGTTGTTGTGCGCGCGTGTTTCGTCCGTGTACTTCTGCAATGCGTCGAGGTCGTCGGAAAAGGACAGCGACGTCGCGTCTTGGTGGGGATTGGGTTCGGAGTGGAGGAATATGGCCGGATCGAAGGAGCTGGGAATGCGCGGCGATGATTCTCTCATTGGGAATTCATGGTGACGTGCTGAAGCGGGGCGCTGGTCTCTGGGTTGAAGAATGATGGTGGAGATCGGTTTCGACGCGTCGCGCGTTGACGCGCCCGCGCTTTGGCGCGCTAAGCCCACTTCGTCTTGACCCTGTCGCGAACCCGTCACAACCCCACAGCTTATTGCATCATCGAAAGATCGAGCAGTAGTAACATAAAATCAGAAATAAACCAAAAGCAGTAACGTTAGTAGACGCGACATGTTATGTTGCAACCACTATGCATTGGTTGATTGAGTCGCGTGCCAATTACGATGGATTTTATGACTCTGTCGCTTCATGAACGAAGCTGCTCTTGAACAAACGGTCATTAAAAAGAATGGGCACCAAACAGTCGCTCTGTTCTATTTATTGAAAATTATCACAATTCGCACGTCTTTCCGAAACTTTTTGCCATACTTCTCTACATGTATTTACAACGCCGTGCAAAGTTTCATCAAATCCACAAAAGCTGATTGGCGCAGTGGAAGCGCGCCGGGCTCATACAACGGTGACCCGGAGGACGTGAGATCGAAACTCACATCAGCTACAACAATTTCTTTTTTGCATTTTGGAGGTGCGATACGGTGAAAGGTTCGATTACCGCTCCTCATGGTGTCAACACTAATACCCCAAACAGGAGTTTCGGTGAAGCCCGAGCTCAAAGCACGCTGCTTAGTAGTCGGGCGATAACGTTAAGCAAGGGGAAGAAGATCGGAGTCCAGCTTCAAGACTTCGGCCTCAGCTTCAACATCACACGCCTTTTTCTCATTGGAGAGCCAAGCAGAGTACCAGAAGCCGCGGACAGACGAATTGCCACGACGGCCGGATGGGAAGCCAACCTTTCGCTGCTTTTGGAAATAAAGGTAACAGAGAAGAATGGCTGCGATGGTGAATGCAAGAATAGTGGCGACGATTGCAACAGCCGCGGCTGAAGCTGGTGAGATTGCCATTGTGTTACTTTGAGCTTGGGTGCGGTATGCGCAACCATAGTGAATACGGGGTATTGGATATATACCGAGGCTTGCGTTGTGCAAATGCGCGCACATTGATCAGGTTTGCGGGGTAGTTCGTTGAGAAATACGGAGTACAATGCTGACGTTGCGAGCGAAGCTGAAGTCGCAGAGGCTTGGATGATCATCCTGGGCGCACTGCCTGCGCAAAGCGACTATCCATATCAAACATGCTCAGCTTTGAACATTGGAGTGTTGCACATGTCAACAAGAGGTGCGATCGGACTTGGGCCCACGGCGCCCCCACCGGCTGCCGTAAACGCATTCGTGTTTGTCTCCGGATGGGAGGCGGCGGCAGGCCTTGGGTGCGGTAAGCTGCATGCGGATTGAAATAATGCTTGCAGCTGGAACGTTGGACGTCCAGTAGACATACGGGTACGGAGGTATGGCAGAGGCGCTGACAGTGAAGGGTTGAATGAGGGGCAAGAGCGAACGTGTATCGCACGCCTTCCTGCGCCCACCAAGGCGACTCCCAGAGCAGCGCCAGTCGAAAAGGCAGATTCCTCTTCCGGTGTCGAGCAAGCCTCGTCGCCTAGGTAAGAGGGTACGCATAGGGAAAACTCTCCATGGCGCGTCCAGCGGTGACATGCAATGGCTGCTGACATTCGCGCTTGGCCGATACGCACGGTTCGTGCGCCGCACCGGTTCGCACCGCCCAGAGCGAAACGCATCCCAACTCCAGCAGCCAACTCGTCTCGCCTGGTGCCGCCTGCAGCCCGCAGCAAATCTCCACTCGGCCCCAACGTCTGAGCAGCTGAGAATCCTCCGCCCGCCCTCCAATCTGGCTGCCCTTATCAGCCTCGCCCACAAGCGCGTCGTCGCGTACTGTATAACCATGGCCCCACTCCGGTTTGATTTCGCGTCTTTGTCCTCTCCCCTAGTCCTGTTTACTCTAGGCTTTCGCCATGGTCAAATTCGACATCCCTGACATCAGGAAGGACCTGGCCATGTCCATGACAATGGCAGCCTTCTCGGGTATCGCTATCTTCGTCGCACTCGAACTCAACCTCCAGCTATTCTATCTCTTCAAGCGACGAAAAGGAGTGTATTTCTGGAGCTGCGCGCTTTGCTCTTGGGGCATCCTACTGCACCCACTCGCCATCATATTTGCAGATTTCCAGGTGATACGCAATATGAAAGTCTCCATTGCCTTGATCTACCTATCATGGTGGCTGATGACGATTCCATTCTCCGCCGTCATGTATTCGCGACTGCATCTGATCATGGCGAATTCAAAATACATACGATGGGTCTTGTACATGATTATTGCGACAACATTGGTCATATCGTTGCCGTCAATGGTCATAGGGCCAATGTCAGTGAGTTTTACCAGGGCCCGTGTCCATCCATGCAGGTGCTAATATTCCCCAGCAACAGCCGACCGCTTCAGGCAGACGTCTCGTCCCATTCTACAGCGTTTGGGTGAAGATAGAAAATGCGACCTGGTGCATCCAAGAAACACTCATCTCGGTCATCTACATTGCCTACACTCATCAGCATTTGCGACTCTTCTCCAACAGCGCCCAGTCCAAGTCCAAGTCCAGTGCATCTCGCAGCTCAATAACGCGTTCATTTTCCGAGGCCTCGGTCTCTGACTATAAACAAATCATGTACCATCTCATCGCCACCAATGTGCTCATCATCGCCTTGGACATCGTCTTGTTGGGCATTCAATATGCAGGCATGTTCTACCTAGGAGGTAGTATGAAGCCTGCTGTGTACGGAATCAAGCTCAAGATCGAGTTCTCCATCCTGAATCGCCTCAAAACCATCGCCAAGTCGAGACAGTCTCCCCTGGGTCAGTACAATGTCGATGCGAGTGGACTTGCGAGAAGTTGGAGCACCGATAGCAGTTCACGCAAGAAGACGACAGAGAGAACTGTGGAGTACGCTGAAGCTAGCAACAATGCCGGCCGTAGCAGTGTTCTCGCATACGAAGGCAGCAATATTCGCAAGCAAGTCTCTGAAGTTGTGATTGAACCTAAACATGGGCCTGAGGGCACGACAAGAGAAGCGAAAGCGTGAACTTTTGTCCAGAGCATCATCACCTACTTACGAGACTAATACATCCCTAATAGCGTCATCCAACTGGTCGCCTTCTTATTGGAACCCGTGCATCTCTGCATGGCATGGAATTATCAATATCATTCTGGATACCCACTGTCTTGCACAGCACCCGCCATGCTGTCCTTATGTTGTCGATATTGCGATTACCACGACTTACATGGTCTTCATAGGACAACCTGTCAAATCCTTCAAATGTTGCCCCGTCTTGCTCGGACTCTTACGTCAAAATTCATCGCCTTCATGAACCAAAAGTTCTTTGTATCCAACCACCGATCTGAATGCATGATCTCGAGGTCGAAGCCCATCACAATCGGTGGCAGCAGCTTTGACATCTCAAGCAGCGAGATGTTCTTGCCAATACAAGTCCGCGAACCGAGGCCAAACTACGCCATGATCAGCACTGCACTCGATTATATCCCAAAGGCGACGATCGTCTTACCGGCATGAAATACGTATTCATCAGCTTCAGTCTCTCACCATCCGACTCGAGCCACCTCTCTGGCCTAAACTCCGCCGCATCCAGACCCCATACATCTTCGTTGAAGTGCGCAATGCGTAAATTGATTCCAACTTCCGAGCCCGCTGGAAAGTGCTCTCCACACAAATCTGCGCCACGGGCACCCACGTCGCGGAACAGCGAGAGGCCGGCGATGGGAAACAGTCGCATTCCTTCTTTGATACAGGCCTGCAGATAGGGCATCTTCTCCGAGACTCTGTAAGAAAGCTTCCCGTCCTCCGCGCCAGTTTCCTCACAGACCCTGCTGATTTCCGATCGCAGTGTCGCGAGTGCGCGCGGCGATCGTGTGAGCTGGAAGAGGGTGCTGCTGAACGAACCTGCGGTAGTATCCGAACCTGCAATCATGTTGCTCATGCCCAACGCGATGACGTGGTAGTCGGTGATGCCCTTCTTCTGATCCCGCTGCATATCCAACATCTTGTCAATAAAGTCCTCCGCTTCCCCATCACCCTTCTCTTCAGCCGCTGGCTTTCCTTGCGCTTCCCGCGCAGCGCGCTCCATCTTTCGCTCCCTCAGCACCGAGCTCGCGAAACCAATGAGGTACTTGTACGCCACAGGCCCAGACGAAGGTATTCGCTCCATGATCGGATACACATACGGATGCGCCCACGCGTATACGCCCACAAGCGTCGAATATATCGCGCGCCGATAAATACCTCGCATTGTATACGCCACATCCTCGCCCTTATCCAGAAACCCAAAGCGCTTGCCATACGTAATGTCTCCGATGACGTCAAAAGCCCAGCATTGTATCCAATGCCCCATATCCACAGCCTGTCCTTGATGCGCGATTTCCCGCAGCCGACTCTCGAAGATCTCCGTGCAGTCGTCGACGTACTTCTCATACGACACGACTGAACTCATCGCGTACAAGTTCCCATACACGCGTCGCGACTCAGCGTGGCGCTGAATATTTCGATCCGTGAACACGGTCCAATGATCGGGCGAGGGATGCTGCCATCCTTCGTACCAGCTGCTTTTCGGCATCTTGCTCGAAACGCCGTACACTGCTTTTTCGGGGGCCGAGATGCTGTACATGTTCGGCGCGATGCGGATGATGGGTGCGAAGTACTGGCCTGGTTTGGCGTACGCGCGATGAAGGGCGGATATGTCGAGGTCATGCTTGCCTTTCCAGATACTATGGAAGTACCATGCCCGGGTGAAGCGCGCGAGGAAGGGTCCGGGGATGTGACGGAGCGGGGAGAGGGCGGCTCGGAGGATCGTGTAGAGAGCGCATAGGACGAGGACAGCTGCGATAGATAGAGGCAGATAGTGCAATTGCATGATTTCAATTAGTCGAAGCGCTTCCGAGTTTCGAGAGCAAGATGGAGGATGAGCACTGAGAGATTTAAACCCACCATAGAGTGCCTCTCGTAACTCGTTCTTCGCAGCGAGTGTAGTAATCGTCTTTCTGTCGGGACAGCAGCAGTGCACTAAAGCGGATAGCGTACATCTACTTGCGGGGTATGTACAGTATAACCATGCTAATTCGCGCGGCCAATCGCGCTGTAGGTAGGGAGCCGACTAACGAAATTCTCCGATAAGCGCAGCTCCATACAGCAGCGATCGGAGAGTTTGCTCACGATCCGGACGCCACATGCGGCATTTGTCTAGTCTTGAGAAAGCGTCCAACATGGACACAGGTTCGGTGCTGACTTGAAGGACTTGATCGTACCCCACTAGTTTGCGAGTTTTACAAATCCACCAACCTCTCGAAGTCAGAGTCATATTTGCTAGCGCTAGGAGTTGAAATCACGACAGAGTTTTGCACATTGGCGGCAGCTATATCTAATTCAAAACAGAGATTGATTGGGATAGATACCGCATTGATACTCGGGGAAGCCTACCAGGATATGCAGATACAATTTGTGTCTTGATGGCGTTAGTCTGGAAACTGCGAGTATCGCATACATGCAACCGAAGTTGCGCTAGTCCTCGATCCCAACTGACTGT